TAGACACCGGTTGCACAAGAGCTTGAAGCGTCACCACCTCTCCTTGACCTCCTTAGCCAAGTCACCCCACACACATTGGCTCCTTTCCATGGGGTGTTTGGACTTTAGAATGAGGCAGCATTAGATTCAGTAAGAGTAGCTCTATAGGAGCTTTTTCCAGAAACAAACAAACAGAAAATCCTCATGATTTGCTTTGGGTGCAAATCTCACGTTGAAATATGATTCTCAGTGTTGGACCTGGGGCCTCAGGGGAGGCGTTTGGGTCAAGGGGGCAGATGCCTCATGAATGACTTGTTGCCCTCATCAAGGCAATGAGTGAGTTCTCACTCCTTTAGTTCACATGAGAGCTGGTTGTTTAAAGGAGCTGGGCACCTCCTCCTCTCTCTCTTGCCCCAGCTCTCACCATGTGATGTACTGTGTCTGCCTTTGCCCTCTACCTTGAGTGGAAGCTTCCTGAGGCCTCACCAGAAGCAGATGCCAGCACCATGCTTTGTGCACAGCCTGCAGAACCATAAGCTAAAATCATACCTCTTTTCTTTATGAATTATTCAGCCTTAAGTGTTCCTTTATAGCAATGCAAACATGGCCTAACAGACTTGAATTTTCTAATAATAACTCATAGACTGAAGAAAGGTAGCAAATGATTAGATAATTATAATAATAGCAGCTATTTTGTGGCATATATCCTGTGTTCCAAGCTTTTGTTCTACAGCTTTACAGTATTAACTCTTTTAATCTGTGTAATTAACTTCATGAGGGATGGTATTATATTATCGCCATTTTTTAGTTGAGGAAACTGAGGCATAAAAAGAGTAAATAACTTGGCCCTGGGTCACACAGCTAATAAAGTATTGAACTCATATTTGAACCCAGGCAGTATAACTCCAGCTGTCTCTTGTCTCTCTGGAAATGACACCAAAATATCCAGAGTACTCCCTCTAAGGGGACCAGCAACCTGGGCAGGAAACTAGAGAAGATATACTAAATAGATATGCAGGCTGGTTCAGGTTCTTACTAACACTACAAATTCTATGGAGTTTTCTATAGCCTGGACAGAGTAAAACTAAATTTTTCAAAAGGAAGTCATAGCACTTTAAACTGTTTAGGAAAGATACAATTACTCTACCAGGGCCAGGCAAGGTGCCTCACACCTGTAATCCCAGCACTGTGGGAGGCTGAAGCAGGTGGATCACCTGAGTTCAGGAGTTTGAGACCAGCCTGACCAACATGGTGAAACCTTATATCTACTAAAAATACAAAAATTAGTTGGGCATAGTGGCATGTGCCTGTAATCCCAGCTATTAGGGAGGCTGGGGCAGGAGAATTGCTTGAATCCAAGGGACGGAGGTTGCAGTGAGCCAAGATGGCACCATTGCATTCCAGCCTGGGTGACATAGTGAGACTCCATCTCAACAACAACAACAACAACAACAACAAACAGTTATTCTACCATGCCGGGAGGTATGGTTTGGCTGTGACCCCACTCAAATCTCATCTTGAATTGTAGCTCCCATAATTATCATGTATTGTGGGAAGGACCCCGTGGGAGATAATTGAATCAAGGGGGTGGTCTTTGCCCATACGCTGTCTCATGGTGGTGAATAAGTCTCACAAGATCTGATGGTTTGGTAAGGGGAAACCCCTTTCAGTTGGCTTTCATTTCTCTCTTCCCTTCGCCATGTAAGACGTGCCTTTCACCTTCTACCATGATTGTGAGGACTCCCCAGCCACGTAGAATTGTGAGCCCATTTAACTTCTTTTCCTTTATAAATTACCCACCCAGTCTTGGGTATGCATTTATCAGCAGTGTAAAAACGGACTAATACACCAGGGGTTGGCAAAGGCTGGCCCATGAGCCAAATATGACCTGCTGCCTGTTTTAGGAAATCAAGTTTTATCGGAACACAGCCATGCAAGTTTACTTATGCATTGTGGCCGCTTCCACATTACGTTTGAGAGCTGAGTAGTTATCACAGAGATCCTATGGCCTACAAACCTAAAACATCTATTATTTGTTTCTTTATGGAAAAAAATTGCCAACCTCTGTACTAGATCGTATTCTCCAAGCATTTCAAGATAGTCTTAGTGTACTTCTGAACTTGAGGAATGAACCCAAATTGTCAAAATGGACTGAATAATTTAGTATTTTTATTGCTATTCAACATAAGCGTGTGCATCCCCTCCCATGTGGCAGGCACGTCTGAATTTATATTGGCACTAAAGCTTGGCATTCCACCAATCTTCAGATACCCGTTTTCAAAGACCTGACTGCACGTTACCTGGGTAATTTCTGATGGATCCCTTAGTGCTCTAAGGTCCCTTTGTGGTCACTTTTCTGTTTCTGTGCCTGCCCATTGTGGGGAGATTTGCACACAGAAAACATTCACTGAATGCCCCTCTTACTTTATGATCATGGTGGAGTGAACCAACATAGTAGGCAAATGTTAAAATCCAACCATCTTTAGATTCTGTACCCCATTTTGAAGTTAGAATCAGCTGTTTCCCCAAAATCTGTTTGCTAGACCTTCGTAAAATCACATTTTTCCTGATTATGAAACTTATATATGCAAAAAATGTGGAGGTACCTAACCACAAGAATAGGAGTCCCCCCACCCCCAATCCCGCCACCTCAGCTAGCCACTGTTAATATTTGAGTGTAATAAACAGTTTTGAAGGAGATTCTCTCTCTTTGACGTATTTTTCTTTTAACTTTTTCTCTACATCATTTAAAATTTCTTAGAAAAAGAAACATTTTTTTCTTTGGCACATAATAGTGCATCATATGGATATGCTGTAATTTACTGAACTGTTTCCTTGTTACTGAGCATTTGGATGGTTTCCAGCTGTTTGCTGTTATGCATAAAACATGACGACCATCTTGGCACATGAACCTCTGTCTGCTTCCTGGGTGTCTCCTTAGGGTCAGAGTCTCAGAAGTGCAGTTGCTGAATTAAAGATAGTTAATATTTTTAACACTTATTAAATATACCAAGAATGAATTAATGAATTAAAGGCCAGATATGGTGGCTCATGCCTGGAATCCCAGCACTTTGGGAGGCTAAGGCAGGAGGATTGCTTGAGCCCAGGAGTTTGAGACCAACTTGGGCAACATAATGAGACCTCGTCTCCGCAAAAAAAGAAAGAAAAATATTAGCTGGGCTTGTTGGTGTGCACCTCTAGTGCCAGTTACTCAGTAGGCAGAGGCGGGAGGATCTCCTGAGTCCAGGAGTTCAAGGCTGCAGTGAGCCATGATTGTGCTATGGCACTCCAGCCTGGATGACAGAGCAAGACCTTATCTTTAAAAGAAATAATGAATGAATGAATGAATGAATGAATGAATGAATGAATAAATGATCATGTCATCTCCGAACTTCTTTACTGACCTTAAGCAAGACTGCGCTAGTTCATGTAATCCCACAACAAAGACTTATTAACATGTGTTAATGTTCGCAGACTGATTATTAAAACAGAGTGAAATCAAGCCTGCAGGTGAGCAGGATCGCTTCAGCGTGATCTACTGGGTGATTTGATATTTAGCTTAGGATGGTGATCATTTTCTTAGGAGGAGCGTGGTTTGAGTTCACAGACATTTGCCTAGAGATGTTTCTTAGGTTCCGTCCTATATTCCAGCAGTTTTCAAACTCAAATGGGCGTAGGAATGACCTTGCAGGGTGGGACACCCCAGGGCCTCAACACCTGCTGTCCTATCTCCACAATGCGCTGCCCCCAGAGAGCCCCAGGTCTCACTGTCTTCATTCAGGTCTCATGCAAACATGGCCGAATCCGAGAATTCTCTCCAACTGCTGGGTCACTTGAGGTCCTCCTGCCTGCTTTGTTCCCCGGGTGGCTCTCATTCCCCGTAACCACCATTCCCGCATGCATTGTCTCCCCTCACTGCAGCCTAAACTGAGCAGGCAGGCCTTTTCTCTGATCTTGTGAGTGTCGTTCTGCGTCAGTAGCTCTCACCCCCAGGGCCACGTGAGTGTCAGGCTCAGGGTCATGTCACAGTGACTCATGTTCTGGCATGCCATTAGCGTCACTGCCCATATTTTGGTGTGAGTATAATCAGCTTTGGGACATTGGGGGAGAACCTTGAGAAGGGCCTGTGACATGAAGGACGTGGGCTTCAGCAGGTAGGACTTGGTCATTATTTGTCACATGAGTTGTATGTGTGAACCTGAACCCCAGCCGCTGCTGGCGCAGGCTGGTGGAGCCTCCCCCCGGGGTGCCAGCACCTACCCGTGTCACAGAGCAGCAGCGCAGCAGCCCTGCAAAGCCGAAGGGCCAGGCAGGTGCCCAGATTGGGTTGTGTCCTTCAAAGGCTACAGTGGCCAAGCAAAGCACCTGACTTATAGGGTTTAACTTGGGTATAGGGAAAAATTAAACTCAAAAGCCACATGTTTACACCAGTGCGTCCCTTCCACATAACATGGACAACACTGCTACCAAATATTAGCGATTATGTTTTTGGGGGAAGCTGTCGCTTTGTGAACATTGATGCTGTTCATGATGAAGAATGGCTTACAGGCTTACAGTAGACTTTCTGTGTTTAGGATAGCTGTCTTGGACATGGCAACCTTATCTTTGTGGCTCGGGAACATGGATACATAAGAGAATACAATGGGCTTAGCCAGGCGTGGTGGCTCACGCCTGTAATCTAGCACTTTGGGAGGCCAAGGCAGGCAGATCACAAGGTCAAGAGATCGAGACCATCCTGGCCAACAGGGTGAAACCCCGTCTCTACTAAAATTACAAAAATTAGCTGGGCGTGGTGATGTGTGCCTGTAATCCCAGCTACTCAGGAGGCTGAGGCAGGAGAATCGCTTGAACCCGGGAGGCGGAGGTTGCAGTGAGCAGAGATCGCACCACTGCACTCCACCCTGGAGGACAGAGCAAGACTCCATCTCAAAAATAAATAAATAATAAATAAATAAATAAATAAATAAAATAATAATAATAAAATAAAATGAATACAATAGGCTTTTCTTTTCTTTCTCCAGGTCTAGCACATACCGCTCCAAGGGCTTTGACGTCACTGTGAAGTACACACAAGGAAGCTGGACGGGCTTCGTTGGGGAAGACCTCGTCACCATCCCCAAAGGCTTCAATAGTTCTTTTCTTGTCAACATTGCCACTATTTTTGAATCAGAGAATTTCTTTTTGCCTGGGATTAAATGGAATGGAATACTTGGCCTAGCTTATGCCACACTTGCCAAGGTAAGGCTAATCCATGGATTTAAGGAAATCAAATAATAGGATGAGATTCTGAAAATCATTAAAGGGCTGACACACGAGTCTTGAGCTATCCTTGGAGACAGTGAGAACCGTGTGGTGGAAACAGACCAGTATTCACACCATTATATTTCCAAGCATTTTTTAAATTGAAGGTAAACAGCATGATTCTTGGAACCTTCCTGTAAGACAGACTAATAGCATTAACTTTTTGTTTTATTTTCGTTTTATAGTTTAAAATGTTAACAGAATTTGAATCATGTAGATGGTGATGTGTGTTTAGGAGGTTTTACTAAGGTAGGATTAAAAGAAAACACATTTATTAAATTCATACGTTTGCGTGAAGCAGGAGCCTGCGGGCAGCCCTGGAACGCAGGCAGGGGATGGTGCCCTCAGCCAGACTGGGATGTGGCCTGTTTTCCTGGCTCTGCAGGGGACACCTCCAAGGAGACACCCAACACCCAGCAGGGAATATGGGCAGCCTGAAGGCATGCCCTGGGGATAGCCAACCCTTCCCAGTGGTGGGGAGCCCCGGAGGAATTGTGGAGCCCTGCTCTCGCCATCACCAGAGCCTCCCCAAATGGGGAAAGACAGAATTGGATGTTCCCCAAATATTTGTACTTGGGGCCTACCCAAAGGAAATAATGTCTGTATGTAGGAGGAGGGAGGCAGGCAGGGGAATTTCCACCTGGAGGCATTGCCGAAGGCAGGCGGGAGTAGACACCGGGGGTGTGTGCTGGGCTCCTGGAGTCCACACGGGTTTGCATGCATCGAGAACCGCAGAAGGAGACCAGCTCTCCTGGCCCCGTAACTGGGCACCACGACCTGGCCTCACCTTGCTTAGCATTAGGCTTGGAACCAGAGCTACATGTGGAAGGAAACAGAAGTGACTGCTAGAGCAACACGCCCCCCTGTCCCGGGAGGATAATCTTCCCATCGTTCCAGCTCAAGTTTATGACCAGATGGGGATGGGGTGGGGAGAGCAAGAGGAATTTTATAACCCTTGGCCCCCACAAGGAGACAGAATCACAATTACTGAGAGCCTATTAGGCCCTAGGCTGAGAAGATCCAAGATAAGATGTGGGTCACTCAGTGCTCATGACTCCCCTGTGAGGCATACTTTGTAAGGTCATATTCTCCCCATTTTATTTTTTTCTTTTTCTTTTTACTTTTTTTATTTTTTTGAGAGAGTCTCACTCTATTTCCCAGGCTGGAGTGCAGCAGTGTAATCTCAGCTCACTGCAACCTCTGGCTCCTGGGTTCAAGTGATTCTCGCACCTCAGCCTCCCAAGTAGCTGGGACCACAGGCACATGCCACCACGCCTGGCTAACGCCTTTTGTATTTTTGGTAGAGACGAGGTTTCACTATGTTGGCCAGGCTGGTCTCAAACTCCTGGACTCAAGTGATCCATTCACGTCAGCCTCTCAAGGTGTTGGGATTATGGCATGAGCCACCGCGCCTGGCCTTATTCTCCCCATTTTCAAGATGTGGGGATTGAGGGTCAGTGAGCTGTTGCCCCTTTGAAGTTAGAACATGGAGCTTCTCACTGTCTGCAGAGCCAGGGCTGGCTCATGAACCCTTTTGTCCTCTGTATCATAGGGAATTGCAGACAGATGGAAACTTGCATTCCTAAACACATTTTCAAAATGTTTTATCTGTATGTGACTATTTGGAAATGAAAGATATATATGACTGGTTTTATGTGAATTGTTCCGAAGTTGATAGAGGAAACCTAAATTGCCTGGAATTAATAATATGTAAAGCTTCTGTGAGAACAGACCCCTTCGGGGTTTGCTCAGACCTCCCTACTCACTGTGAGACATTTTATCTTTTCATTTATGAACTTCCAAGATTACGACAATTGGCTTCCCATTTCCAGGGTTTGAGGAGAAAGCAATAGGACTCATAGGAAGCAGAGTGTGGCTGGGAACAGGGCCTGCAGGGTGGGCTGGGCGGACTGCCCCAGGGGTCTCTGAGGCAGGTGCGCTGAGCGCTCTGCAGTGCTCAGGTTGTGAGGTGGCCCCTGGTCCATTCCAGGGGCTTCCTGTCAAGGCTGTATCAGGAATACCTACGGGGCTTCTAAAACTGCAGCTTCCTGGGCCCCACTGAATCAGGTTCTCTCAGGGTTAGTTGTGGGCACCTGGATGCTTTTAAGTCCCTAGGGGAATTCCAAGGCACAACCCTAGTGAAGAAGGACTTGACAGAATGATTGCAGCTCCTTCACTGTGTGCCAGGTACAGTTCTAAGTGCTTTATAAGTATTGGCCCATTTAAGCCCCAGAGCAGCTCCAGGTGGCTGCCCTTATCCCCGTTTCACAGGGAAGGAAGCAAAGGAACAAGTCACTTAGCTGGCAAGTGGCAGAGCCAGTCTCCCCTTCGTGTTTGCTTTGCTTTACTGCCTCTCGAGAAGGTAGGTAGAACACCAGCTGGGGGCACCCCCAGGCCCACCCTGTTATCCCAAGAGGTGATTTTGTCTCACTGGTTGACCCAAACACCCACAAGTGTTCTGACAGAGATTGCATGTAGAAATTGTGCTGGATTCTGCCTCGGAATTCTGCAGAAGCTGAGATGAAACAAGTAGGAGGTCAAACACAAATGGATTAAACCAATGGGAAGATCTGTGTCTGTTCCATGGTGGAGTCCCCCTCTCACTCCCTCTGGAATCACAGTTTTAATTCTCACAGATAGTAAATAATCATTCCTGTGAATGACCATAGGCACCCAGGGGATGCCTATAGCGTCTGCGCTACTATAGTTAATTACGTTTTCATCAAAAACTAACAACTCAGGGTCACCAACTCCAGTGTCTCCCAGTTGTCAAAGCCAAAATCTAAACTCGGGTCTATCACTGACTTCCTCCATGACCGCCAGCAGCCCTGGCACACCCACACCTCACAGCTGTTTGCAGACCTCCCCACTTCCCTTTGAGTCTCTCTGGAGAAATGAGGGCATCCTCTGTATGTCTTGCTGGATGTGAGGGAGACACAGAGCACATGAGGGCTTCTAAAATCTGGCCTCAGGGAATAAGAAGCCTTTTATGCTTCTGGAGTAAAGATTTATGCCTTTCCTGCTTCTTTCCCACCAGAATTCATCTGGCAGAGCTAAGCCTCGCCCCAGGCTCTGGGGTCCGGGAGATACTGTGCTCCCTGGTCAACCACCTCTCATTTGCATGGTGGACAGCTGCGGCTGACAGGCGAACAAAAATGTCTGCGGCCATGGCAGCTCCTAGAGAAACTCTTCTCTCCTTACTCTCAAATGCCTAAGATTAGGATCCACCACCTGCCACGGTAACCCAGTTCCACGGCTTCTCACACCCCCTCACAAGGCAGTCATGATGATAGATGTGCCTGCGTCGAATGGCTTCCAGAAATACGATCTTATTTGTACAACAGAGCCGTACCCAAAGGAAAAATACCAACCAGTGGGAAGCTCTCTTGGGGCTTTCTGAATTCCTAGACCTGATCACAAGCTGGTGTATTGTTGAACCATGAAAAACACCAGGAATAAACACCAGGAATGTTGTCTGTGGTGCGTGGCATCTACATTGGGTGACCCATGTCTACACTGTGAGTCCTAAGCAGGTGTCCCTCTCTGTCGCCCTCCCGCAGCCATCAAGTTCCCTGGAGACCTTCTTTGACTCCCTGGTGACACAAGCAAACATCCCCAACGTTTTCTCCATGCAGATGTGTGGAGCCGGGTTGCCCGTTGCTGGATCTGGGACCAACGGAGGTAGTCTTGTGGGTATCTTTCAGTCTTAAAGGGGCGAAAAATCACAGATGGATGGGCTCTTTTTTCTGTTTTATTAAACACCTGAGCAGAAATATTAGGCATGTAGGTGTGCGTCGGTACTGTAAAACTTTCATCATCCTTGTTGTCGATCTTTTTAAAAATGGCTAAAATTAGACAATCCTTTATGTCATCCTGCCATCTGGAAGGATGATTCTCATTGCTTCTCCAGATTCCTTTAAAACTTTTCTTTACCATCCTTGGAAGGGCACTGCTTTCTGTGGGTGGGGGAGGGGCAAGTGGGGAGCGGTGGGGGGTGTGGTGAGTGGACCTGACTGTGGGTAGGGGGGCAAAGGAGAGTTCATAAATTTGGCAGGGAAACAGGGACCCTCGTAGATCCTTTCTCTCTCTCTCTCTCTCAACACACACACAGACACACGCGCACCACAGCACAAGTGTTTGCTACTGAAACAGAACCAAGGCCGTCAGCACTACGGAGGTGCTGGAGCCTGAGCTTTCCTCCAGCGCCCTGCACCCAGACATCAAAAGTAGTAGGAGACAGGAAGAATGCACTAGAAGGGGGTGCTGCCAGTCCCATTGCTGTCTGACTAGGAGGGGCAGGCTCTGCGCCCCCGGTCCTCAGCTACTTTCATTTGCTACCATTTCCAGGCAGAGGATAGCATAGGATTTATGAGGAAATGTTTTATAATTTTGCAAAATGAAGCTTTGATCAGGAAAGCGCTTGTTCTTCTGTTGTCTGACCTGCAAGAAACTAAATAATTGTCAGTCAGTGTGGTTAACTGTCTTATTGCATTTCTTTGAAGGAAAAATCTCAATATTGTAAAGCTAAACTTGTATATACTTTCTTTGGATAAAAGAAACCCCCAAAGCATCTTGATTAGACGAGGGCCTAATACCATCTGACTTTTGCAGACATGGACCCATAACATTCCATGTTTATTTTATTTTATTTATTTATTTATTTTATTATTATTACTATTTTTGAGATGGAGTCTCGCTCTAGTGCCTAGGCTGGAGTGCAGTGGCGCGATCTCAGCTCACTGCAAGCTCCGCCTCCTGGTTCAAGCGATTCTCCTGCCTCAGCCTCCTGAGTAGCTGGGACTACAGGTGCCCGCAACCACGCCCAGCTAATTTTTGTATTTTTAGTAGAGACGGGGTTTCAACATGCCAGCCAGGCTGTTCTCGAACTCCTGACTTCATGATCTGCCCGCCTCAGCCTCCCAAAGTGCTGGGATTACAGGCATGAGCCACCGCGTCCAGCTTCTTGTTTATTTTTTAAGCATTGATACTTGTTTCATGACATCATCACAAAGTAGAAGCCCTCATTGCAGTCAAGTTTCTCTTTACAAGTGCATGCTTCTCTGTGTAACCTGTTGATATGTCTGTGTATTTTTTCTCTTATACCTGTAAATATTTTCTGTCCCAGGTCCTGGGTGGAATTGAACCAAGTTTGTATAAAGGAGACATCTGGTATACCCCTATTAAGGAGGAGTGGTACTACCAGATAGAAATTCTGAAACTGGAAATTGGAGGCCAAAGCCTTAATCTGGACTGCAGAGAGGTATTCATGCTATGGTCTCTGTTGTGTCTTTCTGTGTGTGCCTGGGTCACTTAAATATGCCAGCTGGAACCCGTAGATGCCAATAGAAGGTACATTACCTTGTAAGATAAAGGCTAATTACATGAAAAGATGCAGGGCCTTGCTGTATAGTAAGTTGAAATCAATTAATTGTCCTCCCTCCCCACCACAAATATTGCATCCTCCCAATCACTTAGCTTCATAGGACAAAATTACCATTAAATGGTGAGTGAAGAGGACTATCTGAGCTACACCTTTCACCATACATTCATCTTGGACTGATGGTCCTAAGCTCAGTTTAAGAGGTTGAAATAAGCAGATTTTTCATCAGTGTAGGACAGGGAAGGACGAAAAATAAGCAAAATGAAACAAAAAATGATCATCAGCTTTTTATCCTCCATTCACAGCTAGCCTGGCCCCCGGAGTACCCAATTCTCCCTAAAAAGCAGTCATGCTGTAAAGATGTGTGTGGCTCGGTAGTGCTAAAGTGGCCACATGCAGAGCTCTGACACCAAACCTCTTAGGATCCATGTTCATGCCCTCTCACTGTGTTTTGGCTTGTTCATAACACATTATGACATTATGATTATGACTTACGAGAGCCTCAGTCTTCTATAGCACTTTTAGAATGCTTTATAAAAACCATGGGCATTTCATTACATTCTAACCTGTTAGCACTTCTGTTCATATTACCCGTCACATGCCAACATCGATTCTCATATATGCAGGTACCTCTTGTCACGCACGTCTGTGTGAAGAGACCACCAAACAGGCTTTGTGTGAGCAACAAGGCTTTTATTTCACCTGGGTGCAGGCGGGCTGAGTCCGAAAAGAGAGTTAGTGAAGGGAGATAGGGGTGGGGCCATTTTATAAGATTTGGGTAGGTAGTGGAAAATTACTATCAAAGGGGGTTTTTCTCTGGCTAGCCTGGGTGGTGGTCACAAGGTGCTCAGTGGGGGAGTTGTTGAGCCAGGATGTGCCAGGAGAAGGAATTTCACAAGGTAACGTCATCAGTTAAGGCAGGAACAGGCCATTTTCACTTCTTTTGTCGTGAAATGTCATCAGTTAATGCAGGAACTGCCATTTTTACTTCTTTTGTGATTCTTCACTTGCTTCAGGCCATCTGGACATATACGTGCAGGTCACAGGGAATACGATGGCAATGGCGTAGCTTGGGCTCAGAGGCCTGACACCTCTGAGAAACTAAAGATTATAAAAATGATTGTCCCTTCCATTGCAAATCTGTGTTTATTGACAAGAGGCACTTATTTGTCAGCTAAGAACCTAGTGGTAGAATCAAATGTCCGAATGTAAAACAAAAGACAAAACCTGTGTGTGTGTGTGTGTGTGTGTGTGTTTATGTGTGTGTCTGTGTCTGTGTGTGTGTGTGTATGTGTATTAGAGAGGAAAAGCCTATATTTGGAGATGCGATTCTTAGATTCTAGGTTCTTTCCTGCCCACCCCGTATGCACCCACCCCCCTAAAGAACAAACAACAAAACCCAGGACATCTTAGTGCAACATTTCAGTTTGCTACAGGACTTTTAAATATTCACTTTACTTACCTATTAAAAACATGAAAATGTTATGAATAAGCTAAGCTATATTTTAAATTGTTTGTTTTTACACTGAAAATAATTTAATATTTGTGAAGAATACTAATACATTGTTATATTTCATTTTCTTAAAATTCGGAACCCCTCCTCCCTTATTTCCTTTTGACCCGAGTGGTGTATTGGTTGTGTGACTCATGGATTTGCCTTAAGGCAGGAGGATCAAGTTGCCCAGGACTCATTCCATCCCTGGGTAGACTTGCCCACGCAGCTGTGCCTGTAGAGGTTGGGGTGGCTCATCTGGTGTTGGCCACTGGCCTCCATTCTCTTCCCTCTGCCACATGAAGAACGTTGCAGGTGGGGACAGGGCTGGCAGTGCCTGTGTGTGTCTCAGTCTATGATGCAGTGTGGCTCTGGGCTCTGGTTGTTACCAATGCAAATATGGGATGTCTGTTGAAAAATTGTCCCCCCTTCTTCTCTTCATTAGTGAGGTCATAGAGAGTTGATTTGTGTACAGTTTATACAAGTGGCTTTTAGTATATTTCAGCCTCAAAAGACAAATAGGTCTTCCCTCTGCCCTGGAGCAGGAGTGGGGGTCCTCAGTGAAGGAACTTGGGCAGCTCTGAGTAAGGAAAGAGCTCCCCAAAAGCCATCCCAAGGAGGGCTATTGATTTGCTAATTTGGGCCACATCCCCTCCCTTTCCTGGGCCCATTTCCTTGTCTCCGAAGTGAGCATGTTGGGCTGGAAGACACCTGGTTCCCCAGTTCTGAGAATATGAATGAACTACAGTCCTTGACGAGTGGCGTGGCTGCCTGGATTTGTGTGTAACAGACAGACGGTGATGGTGGCTGGAGCCACGCGGGGCGGGGAGCGCCACCGTCACTCATGCACCTTCCCCTTTCTCTCCTGGTTCAAGTATAACGCAGACAAGGCCATCGTGGACAGTGGTACCACGCTGCTGCGCCTGCCCCAGAAGGTGTTCGATGCAGTGGTGGAAGCTGTGGCCCGCGCATCTCTGGTGAGTCCTCGGGACACTCACGGGTCCCCGAGTCGCTGAGTTACAATCACCTGCTGAGCAGCACTGCGTGTTCTGAGTGTCTCTGAACTATTGCACCATGCGTTTCAAATTTTCATATTGTGTATTTGCATATTTTATATGTAATCGTATAGGTGTAATATGTAAATATATTTTATATGTGTTTAAAATCTTTATATTTTGAAGGGTTTTGTTTCAACTATCCGCTTCTTTGATGTTAGCAAATAATACCTTCGTGAACCTCAGAGGACTTGGATCTGAATGTGCAGTGCCCTCTAGTATTTCAAATAATAGTTCCTTTGGTATAGTATTTTTTTAATCTGTGAAAACAATACTTGGTAATATAACTGTTACATTTATAGCCTTTAAAACAAAACATATAAACCAAAAATTTTACTCCTTTTTGGCCTTCATCCCCGCACTGGTTATCTTAACTTCCGTTTGTGTAGAAGAATATCATTTTTTCATAGAAGACAAAGATCAATCAGCCAATCTACTCATTAGTTTATGGCCATGCTCTGAAATACAATTAAAATTACTATTGTGGACAACATGCCTTTTTGGGACCTGGCTGATGGTATTCCTGGTGTGACCCCAACTTTCCAGTCAGCTCAGGGCAATAAACATTGGATACAGCACAGCTTTGGGGATGAAATAGAATTAAATTTAGTCTAGCTTTTGCCACTTTTAGCTGGATGTCTGGGGAGGGGTTTTGTGCCCTCTGAGAGCCTCTGTATTCTCAACTGAGGGGTGGTTGTGAGGTTTGGGTCAAATGCTTGGTGTTGAGGAGACACTTGGAGCTTCCATTTAACATGCAACCACGGCTCTGCTACTATTTGTTTAGATGAGAGATGAATGTGACTTTTGGCTTCCTGAGTGTTCTCATAGCATCTGTCCACTCAGGGCCTTCCTTGTGAGATCGTCAGAAAGTGTTTCCTGCACAAACACTGCGGCCCTGGCGTGGGGCTGATTGTCCTGCTACTCTGCTGTGATGACTGAGTTCAAAGAGTGGCCGATAGGAGCACGTATGGTGGTTGCCTTGTTACAGCTCATAGCAGAAACGTGACAAGCAGGAGAGGGCTTTGGGTTGTCCTGAACCCAGACTTCAAACACCTGTGACTGCTTCGGGAAGAGCGGCTCGCTGATGAAACGACACAGGGGGAATAAGCAGGAAAGGACGTGGGCCCTTTTTGAAGCAGCAGGTCTCAGGGCGACCAGCCGCCTGGCACAGCTGCAGCTGAAGCCACGGCAGAGTCTCCATCTTTCCCACTATCTGCTGAATCAGCGAAAGTGGCAGGTAACATTTTTAGTGCCTTAACTTTAGAACGCTTGCTGAAAATCAGACCCTACTTAAAATAAGGAGTGATACCCTCATTTCTTAAATAGTAAAAATGCCCTCAGCAGAATTAACATGAGTACCTTCCAACTTCATATCCTGAATGGAAAAGTCTGACCACCATCCCAAGGACGTGTTTGAAGCGCAGTGTGAAAATCTAGCAAGCCGTGGGCCAGCCGGGCCCCTGTGCCGCGAGAGGCGGGGTGGCGGGGCTGCGGGGCGCTCACACTCCCAAGCTCATTGTGGCATGTGCTGAGCCGAAAACCACGAGGTAGAAGGAAGGAGACAACATTTGTTTGCCTTGTCTAAAATTATCCTCTGATTTCATTCGGTCCCTGCGTCAGGAGGGAGAAACATGGGAAGGTTGTTTGTCTTGGGCAGGGAAAGCATAACAAGGGTGCATTGTGTGTCTGTCTTACTGTCTCTGGACCAAAGTTGTGTTTGTTTTTCTTATCTACCAGGTCCGGGTAAGCCAACCCTCTTGGCTTGGGTTTCCTTCTGGTTAAGGGGAGGGCTGGCTTCAGAGAGTGAAAGACAATAGAAGTGTGGAGCTCTGTCTCCTGGCATGGATTGTTCAGATGGGATTCTAGAAATTAAGGGTTTGGAGTTCTGTATTTAGAAATGAACCTGGAGCGGGGAGTATTGTGCCAGGTGCAGCCCATGCAGACGCACGGAGACCTGGGCTTGTTCGGACCCTGCTGCAGTGCCCACGTGGCTCAGGCCCAGTGCTTCTCCAAGGAGGAAATCCAGACACAAAATAATGCCCACTTTAAGATGACTTCTGACTTTAAAACTGTGTGATCTGAGGGTCGAAACTGGCCCCCAAGGACACGTGGCTTCACCCCCGGGGAGGCTGCCAGACTTTTGGTTAAGGACCATGGCTCTGGGGACAGTAAGTCCCACATCCAAATCTGAGGTGAGCTACCCAGGCCAGTTACGGGGCCCCTTGGAGCCTCATTGTCCACCTGCTGTTGGAGCTGGCCATGGCACTGTCATCTGAGCTCTGTGCCCCATGCCCTGCTGCAGACCTGGCCACCGAAGCTCTTCGCCGAATCCAGCAAAATGACCATCCCGCCTCTCATGAGCGTGTCTGAGAAGGGGCTCTCCCTGTGACGTGCATCTTTAGTAGACTTCGCTTTTTTACAAAGCAAAGATACATTAATGCCAGCATTAGAAATTACACAGATCATTCACAAATGGTCTGAGTGGAGAACGTGGAATGGATGAGCCAACCACAGGGAGCTTTCTCCCCACCTGCATGCCCTGGTGAGGAGGGCAGGTGTCTGCAGTGCGTATGGTTACGTAGCACGTGCCACCACCGATATTCAGTGTGTGGGCATCGGCAGATGCATCCAGGGGCACCCGTGTGTTTTTTCAGTTCTGGTCTTGGCAGTGTTCTGTCCCATTTTCCCGTCTTCTGTTCTAACTATCCCTTTGGCTTCTAGAAGACCCTTCTCCCTCCTCCTTGGACTCGCCCTGTCCCTGTGCCCCTCCTCGTGGAGCCTCTCTTTCTGGCCTGAGACCCCTGTTCTTGCTGCACATCCTCCTATGTGATCCCATCCTTAGCCTCATCAATACCTCCTGCTCACCTATCAGTGCCTCTGGAAGGTGTGTCTAGCCCAGGCCCATCCCCTGGAGCTCAGGGGACTCAGGACTCGTGAGCCTCACATGTACACTTGGACACGTGAACCACATCAATGTGCCACAGAGCTCAGCCCTCTGCAGATGAAATGCGGTCACGGTATTCCTTCATAGTGGCGCCCCTGGTTCCCTCCCCTCCTCATCTTCCATTCCTGTCTGTCTGCAGCAGCAGCCATGTCCAGCAGGCAGGTTCCACGGCAGCATCTTCTGCAGCACCCCTACCACACACCTCCCAGCGCCTGCCTGGCCCTCCAGTCCAGCTCTCGCCTTTCTTCCTTCCAGCCATGGCCTCCTCCTGCTCTGCCCCACACGGGACCCTGCCCTGGATGTGCTACAATAGGCACGTCAGACACAGTCCTTCCTCAGCAGCCGGCAGGCCCAGGGCGGACTGCTCAGGATCCTGCCTGTGAAGTCACGCAGGTGTCGTTAACTTGCCAACTCAGCAACTAGTGGATATGGGCAGATGCTACCTTCCTTCCAGTTCCCTGGTGAGAGGCGCAGGTGGATGTCCTGTGTTGCCGGCCACCTTTTTGTCCCTGGGTGCCATTTGTTTTTTTCCCCAAATATTTCCCAGGTCTCTTCTGTGTGCAAGGTGTTAGGGCTGCAGCAGGGGCGGGCCACAGATCTCTGTCCTGAGAAGACTTGGATTCTAGTGCAGGAGACCGAAGTGTATCACGCCAATCAGTGTAAATTGTTAACTGCCACAAGGAGAAAGGCCAGGAAGGAGAGGGGCATGGTGGTGTTCTCGTGTTACAAGAGGAAGCCAGGGAAGGCTTCCTGGATGAAGCGGTATCTGACCTGAGATCTGGAGGAGGAGAAAAATGTCCCAAAAGAGCAGAGAGCCCACACTAGGCTCTGCACCAGGAGGCAACTTGCTGGGCTTATGGAATTCAGAGGGCAAGTGATAAGCAGAAAGGCCTTGGGGGCCACAATTAGGATTTCTGTCTTCTAAAGGGCCTCTGCCCTCTGCTATGTGACCTTGGGCAAGTTACTTCACCTCTAGTGCTTTGGTTGCCTCATCTGTAAAGTTGCGAGGATAATGCTATCACACTGGTTGAGAATTGAAGTAATTATTGCTGCAAAGGGCTTATAAGGGTGCCTAATACTAGCACTAGTAGGTACTTTGTGTGTCTTGACAATTTTAATCATTATTATTTTGTCATCACCGTCACTCTTCCAGGAGACTAATGTCCCTGCTGTTCTGTCCAAATTAAACATTGTTTATCCCTGTGGGCATCTGGCGAGGTGGCTAGGAGAGCCTGGAGCTGTTTCCTGTTGACGTGCCAGACTAGTCATGGTTTCTCACGTGATCTTGTTTTGTCTAGATTCCAGAATTCTCTGATGGCTTCTGGACTGGGTCCCAGCTGGCGTGCTGGACGAATTCGGAAACACCTTGGTCTTACTTCCCTAAAATCTCCATCTACCTGAGAGACGAGAACTCCAGCAGGTCATTCCGTATCACAATCCTGCCTCAGGTACAAACTTGGATTTGTGCTTCGCTCTTTTTATTACGCAAAAGTGAAAGCACTCCATGCATGACACGTGTATTAGATGTCACACCTGTATTAGATCTCTATCACCACAATGATGCTACAAAAGACAGCCACACATTACTGTCCCTGAGTCCAGGCAGGGTGGTGTCCCTTGGCTGAGCTCACTCACGTGTCTCTGCTTAGCTGGTGGTTGGCTGGGCCCCGATTGGCCTCTGCCCAGGCTGGTGTAGGATGGTCTCACTCACATATCTGGTGGTGAGGTGGATGGAGGAACGGAGTCATGCGTTTCTCTCCATCTAGTGCCTGAGTCACATGTGGTAACAGGGACCTGGGAGACAGAAAAGAACCACACAGGGGCTCCTGAAGTATCAGCCAAGACTGACCATCGTCTCTTCCATGGTGCTACCCAAACAAGCCCAAGGCTAGCCCAGATTCCGAGGATGGGGGAAGAGACGCCCCTCGCACTGGGAGGAGCCACGGAGCCACATTGCCAAGGGTGTGGCTACAAGGAAAAGGGAAGACCTGGAGACATTTTCGTCACACCTACCACATCACCCTTATATATTTTTCCTGTTTACGCTTCTAAAGGGCCTCTGCCCTCTGCTATGTGACCTTGGGCAAGTTACTTCACCTCTAGTGCTTTGGTTGCCTCATCTGTAAAGTGTACACTTGGACACGTGAACCACATCAATGTGCCACAGAGCTCAGCCCTCTGCAGATGAAATGCGGTCACGGTATTCCTTCATAGTGGCGCCCC